GCTGTGCCCTGAGTTAAGCAGGCAGCCCCTGCTCTCTTGGAGTTTATCTTCCAAGAGTGACTACATCAGTTTAGATAATCAAGTAAAGGTCATAAAAACAGTGAACTGTGAGTTGGCCAGACACTTTAAACATAGAAAATGTCCTATATAATGGAAGTTTACTGTAATACAACCCATTAAAGTGTAGATTTAGTATAGTTGCATATATCTCATACACAGTTTTAGACTAAATACCTGAAGGAAATCATAATAGAATCATACAGTATGGGGACTTCCTGGTGGTCCAGTGGCTAAGGCTCCGCGCTCGCAATGCAGGGGGCCCAGGTTCGATCCCTGGTCGGGGAACTAGAACCCACATATCGCATCTAAGGGTTCACATGCTGCAACTAAAGATCGCGCATGCCGCAATGAAGATCGCGCATGCAGCAACGAAGATCCTGTGTGCCGCAACTAAGACCCGGCACAGCCAAATAAATAAATAAAAATTTTTTAAAAAATTGAATCATACAGCATGGATCTCTAGAAGAGCAATTAGCATATTTATACTGGGCAGAGGTAATTACTTTGGGACAGGGATGGAGGAGTTGGGGAGCAAAAATTAATCCTGTAAATTGTATAAGGTGAAAGAAAAATGAACCTGTGGCTACTGCTTAATAAAGCAGTGTGACATGGTGGGAAGACCATGGATTTGGGGGCAAGAATGATCTGGGCAAATCATGGCTCAGCTACCTACAAACTATGTGGCCTCTCTGGAGCTCGATGAATTCAAAGGAGAACTGTTTTCCCTTCCGACTGTAGCTGCAGAAAGGGTAAGATTTGTGGCTCAGCTTAGAAGCAAGTATATATAGGTGTGGTTTTTAGCTTCAGTCCTGGCTTTTTTTTTTTTTTTTAATCTCACAACTATTATTTCCTTTTTTACTCTTTTTTAAAAAATGCCTTCCTGTATGCTTATTAACGGACCAAGAGTATTAGTGATTGTATTGGTTCACTAGGGCTACCATAACAAAATACCACAGCCTGGGTGGCTCAAGCAACAGAAATGTATTTTCTCACAGCTCTGGAGGCTAGAAGTCCAAGATCAAGGTGTTGATGGGGTTGATTTTCTCTGAGGCCTCTCTCCTTGACTTGTAGATGGCTCTCTTCTCCCTCCGTCTTCACATGGTCCTTCCTTTATGCACACACGTCTGTGTCACCAGTTATATTGGATTAGGGCCCACATAAACACCTCATTTTAATGCAGTCACCTTTCAAAGGCTCTTATCTACAAATACTGTCCCATTCTGAGGTACTAGGATTAGGCCTTCAACATATGAATTTGCAGGGGACACAATTCAACCCATGGCAGTGATTAAAAAAAAAAATGGTAATAACCTCCCTCATACATTTCTTTAACTGTAAAATAGGGATATAAAAATGATTACTTTGTTCTGTGTATGATTATTGTGAGGATTATAATGAGAAATTCACCTCAGTTGACTGGCACAGTTGAGTCACATAATAGGTACTTCGCAATTGTTAAATATCCTCCTTTCCTGCCTTTGGCAAGGGAGAGAAATTCTGAAATTGCTTGATTAAAAAAAAGAGACACAGACCTTACCTGCTACAGTGATAGGGTGTGGGTGTTTTAAGTGTCAGAGACAACTGGGGTAGCCAGGGAAGGAAGAGTGGGGCAGTGGAGAAAAAAAAATGTTTTTATTTACTTTGGAGCATGAGATGATCAAGAAAGCAAAGGAGCTGAGGTGGCTTGAGGTAGACTCCAAAACTCAAAAAGCCCAAAGAAGAATTTAGCCCTGAAGTGAGAGAACTTCAGCAATAATGTTAAGAATTTTAGACTAAAAGACATCATGATTCAATTCCTTTATCTTATGGAGGAGAAAACTGACATCCAGAGAGGTTAAGTAACAGGCTAAAATCACATAGCTAAGCAATTGGTGGAAGACTAATCAACTCTGAAAAATTAAGTCTATGATTGGGAGGAGCAGAATATGATAACTTGAGGAAAATGTCTGAATTCTACCAGACTGTCAGAGCTAAAGCTGTATCTTATTCATTATTGTATCTCCAGTTACCAGGGATGTGCCCAGTGTATAGTATTCAATGATGATTGTTAGGATGATTCAAAATAGATATTGAATTTGCAGGGGACTTGTTAAACCATAGGTGTACATTTTTGTGAATAAATCAGTGCAGCATACTTATGAAATATATGGAACATCTTTAGTATCATCCTGGAGATCAGTATACAAAAAATTACATTAATAAGTGAGTTTCTAAGACTGCTGGATCTAAGGGCACTGTTCAAAAATCAATTGTATTTCTTTATACCAGTAGCTGATACATACTAACGAATGCACATACACTACTGGTGGGAGTGAAGGTTGCACAATCACCTTGGAAAACTGACAGTATTCACTAAAGCTGAGTATACTCTTATCCTATGATCAAGCAGTTACTCTTCTAGGCAGTATATATCCAGCAAGAGCATGTGCACATATGTACCAAAAATCATGTGCAAGAATGTTTGTGCCTGCATTATTTGAAAGAGCTAATAACTAGAAGCAACCCAAATGTCCATCAACAGTAGAATGAATCAATAAATTGTGGCATATTCACCTTGTGGGTATGGTACAACAATCAATAAGCTACAACTACACAAAACATGTGGATGGATGAATCTTGTAAACCATAAAGGAGCCCATTCACAAAAGAATACACACTATATAATTCTACTTATATAAAGCTCCAGAAACAGGCAAAATTCTATGATGCTAGAATCAGGATACTGGTTACCTTTGGAAAGGTAAAAGAGGATACTAAGGGGGCTTCAGAGGTGCTAGTTATGTTCCATTTCTTGATTGAACTGGACACGTATTTGTATACTTCTCTGTATTTTTTATACTTAAATTATAAAAGGCTTAAAAGTATGTATTGAATTTTTATATATCATTGATATCCTAGAAGTAGTATCACATGATTATTTTAAATGAGACTGAAGCAGCTGTCAGAATGTATAGCTGCTTCAGTATGTATATTTGAATGTATAGCTGCCTCAAAAAATAAATAGAATTTAAAAAGACATCCCCACCCAGTCTCCCACCCTTTTTTGGTTCAGTATTTCTTTTTGTACTCTTACTTGTTGTTTACTTATGGAATTGTATTTTTAACAAACAAAATAGTATAGTATGCAGTATAGCTTTTCAGTATTTAAATAGTTATTTCTCTCAGAAATTTTAAGGTATCAAAAAGGATTAAGCTTAGAACTGTGTGTAATATGATCCCAATTTTTCTTTCTGTCTGTCATCATTTCTAGGTGTAAAGGAAAAACTTGGAAGGATATAAGCGATAAGCAAACTTTTTTATGAGAAGGGGGTAAACTTCCTATTTTTATATGTTTGATATTTGAATTTTTTACAATAAGCATGTGTCTCTTTTTTTAGTTTAAAAAGGTACAATTTTTAAAAATTAAGCAAAAAGATAGATCTTAGCTATTAAAATATTTTATATCCTAGAACTAGAAAAACTCTCAACCTTTTTTCCTTTTATGCTTACTTATTAAAAATGTATAAAACCTAACAGTTGAATACTGTCAAGAAAAACACCAATAATTTAGATCTTTAAATTCCTATTTAATGTCATCACTTAGATAAAACATAAAACTTTGATTTATATGGTTGGTTTTTTGTTTTTTCTGTTTTTCCAAATTTTCTAGAGTAAGCAATATTACTTTTGTAATAGAAGTATTTAAGGGAGGCAAATCTTTAGTATTTCAGTCTTTGCTGATGAGGTTAATATGTTGTACTTTTAAAGGATTTTTCTCCACTAATATTTATTGTTCTTTTGTTCCAACTGGGAAGGGAAAAGCCAGACTGGAAGCTATAAAAAGTTATTTTGTGAGATGCTGTTTTTCTAATGGTATTATTAAGAATTGCTAAAAATACACACAATAGATCTTGAGGAAAATGCAAACTGTTGGAATACAGTTCTTTTAGTGGCATACTTTTCTTTCCAAAGTCAAAAGCCTTTGACTCATGAATATGCTCCCAAGGGTGAATTAACCTCCCTCCTTTTCCTCCTCAAGTTTCCTAATTGCATTTTTAGCTTGTGTAATTGTATTTGTCCTTTGTATACATAAATATACAAACCATTTTAAAATAAATTCAGTTTGCTGGCTGATTAGTTTTATACATTTGAATTGGATGGTGGTAAGAGGTCACAGGTCTTGTAAATATCCCTGGAAATTAGGAAATTGCTTAGAGACCAGGCCCGTTTGACTAGATTCATCCTCAACTTGGAAATAAAGTTAGTTTTCACTTTCCTCCACCCTTCTGCACAGTGGTTTGAAGACTCTAGCTTAAGTGAATAAGATCAGAAATTTTGAGGTTTATTTTTCTTTAAAAATATAAACTGAGTATTAGTATTTTTCAGACAATTAAGGGCTAACATCTAAAGGCTTTGGTTATAGTTCTTATGCTGCTGATTAGGTATTCCTTGCTGGTGATTAGTGAATGTACAAATGCAATCATTCGGTAGGGTTTAATCACTTATATGAGAGAGAAGTTCGTTACCCAGAAGGAGAAATTGAAGCTTGTATAACTTTCATTAGCCTTATTTTTTTAATAGCAAAAAAATAAAGAAGAATAATTTTTGACTAAATTAGGAATATTGACTAATATAAGATAAATTGTTGTTTAAAAGAAATAGGGAACCTGGGGAAATACACTTACATGAATATACTTTTCCACCATGTAGTATATTGTCTGTATTATAGGTAGCTTATGAATAGTTGGCCCTTACCAAACCAGGACAGATTTCCCTCAGAGAGAGAGAGAAAGAAGTGCTAGCTGAACAAGTGCATCTCATTCTTTCTTTGCACTGGGTGGCTGAGCCCCACAGTTATAGCAGGGGTCAGGGGAGGAAATGCCTCCTTTCCCAGGTTTCCTACATTAACTTAAATTTGAGAAGAAGAGAGATGTATAGCTATACCTTTTTTTTTTTTACAGGTCTCTAAGGCAATGGGAGAGTGGAATGCATGTATTTGGGCAATGCTGTATTTCTTTCTGGTGAGATGAGTTAAGGGCCTGAGCCCTGAGGGTAGGTTTGAGCCACTTGGGATGATGAGCTAGGGAGGTGTGGGTGGCTGCTTAGGCCAAGCATTGCACAGTGGCGTGACTCTGTTAGCTTCAGGTGTGGTTCTTCAAATGTGTAGTCAAAAAGCTTAGCTTTGGGCTTCCCTGGTGGCGCAGTGGTTGACAGTCCGCCTGCCGATGCAGGGGACATGGGTTCGTGCCCCAGTCCGGGAGGATCCCACCTGCCGCGGAGTGGATAGACCCGTGAGCCATGGCCACTAGGCCTGCGCGTCCGGAGCCTGTGCTCCGCAATGGGATAGGCCACATCAGTGAGAGGCCCGCGTATACTGCAAAAAAAAAAAAAAAGCTTAGCTTTGTAGGCTCCCCAGGGGAGCAGCCTCTTCTTGGGGATTATTTTATTCTAACCTAATTCACAATTGCTAATATATAAATCAAAATGCTGTAGCTTTTCCAGCCTTCCAGGCCAGTTGGTCTTCACTCCGAGGGTGACCAACTATCCCAGTGTGCCCAGGACTCTCGTGGTATTAGCACTGAAAGTGCTGCTTTCAGGAAAAAAATCCTCAGTCTTGGGGAAACCTCTCAGTCTCAGAGGGATGGTTGATCACCCTATTTTACTTCCCTGAGCCCTTAGCAGCTGTAGCATAGGAGGAGGGGAAATGCATTCTCGCTGCCACTGTGTGCAATCTCTTCCCTGTAGTACAGATGATGAAGAGCTCTTACATAGCAGTACAACCCAGGATGTAATTTCAGGGAGGAAGAATGTTGCTACATCCCAAGTGTGCCCAGATAGTGCTCTTGTGATTATCTATTGCTGCATAACAAATGACTACAAAATTTAGAGGCTTAAAATAACATTACTATCCCTTCTGGTTTCTGTGGTTCTGGGATTTGAGAAAATCTCAGCTGACAGTTCTGGCTCCCTCATTATGACAGTGGCTACAACTGGAACAGCTGGAGACCAGTCCAACACCTCTGTCTTCATGTCATCTCAAGGCCTCTCTATGGGCTACTTTAAGCTCTCCTGGTTGCTTTCAGACAGGTGATGCTTACCTGGCAGTTTAGGGTCCTGGAGCAAGTATTCTAGCCAACAAGAAAGAAGCTGCCTCAAATGTCACATCAGATATTATTGTATAGCATCATTTTCACCAGAGCCACAGGATTCAAGTGGGGAGCATAGACCCCACTTCTTTTTTTTTTTTAATATTTATCTATTTGTCTGCGCCAGGTCTTAGTTGCAGCACGCGGGATCTTTAGTCATGGCATGCGAACTCTTAGTTGCAGCATGTGGCATCTAGTTCCCTGACCAGGGATCGAACCTGGGCCCCCTGCATTGGAAGTGCTGAGTCTTAGCCACTGGACCACTACGGAAGTCCCTAGACCCTACTTCATGATGGTTAGAAGGTCAACGTCACAGCCTGTTGAGATGGAGACATTGCAGCCATCTTTGGAAAATATAATCCACCACAATTACCTTAGCTTCCAAATGCAGTTTTTCATTAATAAAAGTAGTAAAGTTGTTAAAATATGGTGTTTCCTCATGAATTTTCTTAATGCAATTTTTATTTCGAATGAAAACAAAAAGATCAGCCTGTAAATGTTACTTGAATCGTTCTGAGAACTCTTGCTTACCACTGTTCTACTGGAATGAAAGTGTGTATGTGTGTGTGTGTGTGTGTGTGTGTGTGTGTGTATCTTCCCAAAAAGCCAACTGACCAACATAGGTGTAGTAAAAGTTCATTTGCTTCCATAGTAAGAATTTTAAGGTGTGTGTGTGTGTGTGTGTGTGTGTGTGTGTGTGTGTATGGGAGTTTCTATGCATACATGCACCCCAGAGGATGGAAAGGAAAGAGTAACTGGGAGGAGACAAGGACAGCAGTGGCACAGGACCATTCGGGTTGAACGGAAGCATTCATAGCAGGAAAGAACTCTGAAGACATTGATGGCTGGAGAGGGAGCTAAGGAACGAGGGCAGTGGCTATCATTTAGAAGTGAAGGGCAGGTATACCTATAGCATCACTTTAGAACGATCATTCAGTTTAAAATGTGGATGCTAATGTTCTGATGCAGCTTTCTTAGACTGTCTCCCATTGTGATGCTTAAGACCCATGAGTTATTTTTTCTGATAGCCTCCAGCTTCTCACTTCAGAGTAATGGAAATTGGAATTTTAAAAAATCTAATGCGGTTATTTGGGGAATTTGCTGACAGCACAGTTTTAACAAAGTTTGAGGAAGGCATGCTACAAATCTTAATTTTATTAAACTGATATTTTTTGGCTTAATAAATGTTTAATATTGCAACATTTATGATTCTTACATGAGTTCTATTGTTTTGTCCTAAACTCATTATTTTATTAAGGAAAATTTGAAAAATTAAAAAAAAAAATAGGATAGCAGAAAGATTATAATTCTAAGCTACCATTTGTTTAAAAAGATATTTTATGTGTTTGGATTGTAGGAATACTGTAATACTGTCCAGCTAGATTCTGGGATAGATTATCGGAAAAGGGAACTTCCTGCTGCAGGAGAACTCTACTACCTGTAAGTTGTTTTTTAATTTTCATTTTCTAAGTTTAATATCTAATAATTAATCAGGAAAAGATGAGAAAAATAAGCAGGGTAATTATTAGAAAATGAAAGCCTAGTTCTAAAGCCTGTGATTTTTAAAATACAAAATGTTATAATGTTAACTTCTTTAAACTGTGTTTTCTGCCATCCACATTTGCATGATTTATAATGTGTGATTGGTGGAAACCCTAATTAGTTTTTTGGGGAGGAGTGATGACAGATGGTTAGAAAATAATGAGTATCCTTTTTAAGAAACTCTAGTATTAGAGAATATCTTTATTGTGCTCAAGTAATTAATTATTTGTGGACATCTTCTGACAAATGTGTCATTTCTGTTCTCTGAAAATTGTGTTTTATTTTGTCAATCTGTTTGTATTTATCATTGTTGATTGACTTCCATACATAACTATGTAAAATATATATACACAAGTACAACTGGATATATTTTGTCTTTTAAAAGCTCAGACTTGGGCTCCCCTGGTGGCACAGGGATTAAGAATCCTCCTGCCAATGCAGGGTACGTGGGTTTGATCCCTGGCTCAGGAAGATCCCCCATGCTACAGAGCAAGTAAGCCCGTGCACCACAACTACTGAGCCTGTGCTCTAGAGCCCGTGAGCCACAACTACTGAGCCCACGTGCTACAACTATTGAATCCCGTGTGCGTAGAGCCCGTGCTCTGCAACAAGAGAAGCCACCGCAATGAGAAGCCTGCGCACCGCAATGAAGAGTAGACCCCGCTCACCACAGCTAGTGAAAGCCCACGCATGGCAATGAAGACCCAATGCAGCCAAACAAAAAATTAATTAATTAATTAATTAATTTAAAAAAACCTCAGACACTCCTGAGTAGGAGCAATTTATAATAATAGATGTGTTCAGCATGTGTAGTTAATGCTGAAAAACAAATATAGTTTGTTTTAAAAATGTCATTTGTGAGAACCTGAAAAGGAAAAAGTGCCTTACAAATGCAAAGTGTTGTTTAGTGTATGCTGCTAGTGTTGGGCGCCTAGTGGGTTCTCAGTAAATAGGTCTGTCTAAGGGCTAATTGTGATTTAACTCAAAGGCATGTTTCTGCTAATTTCAATTTTGATGACAACGTGCATATGAGAGGTTCAGAAAAGTTCTTGTCTCTGCCACCTTGTAAGCAGAAGTACTTTACTGTTTTTGAAGCAGAAATTAGCTAGAAAAATCACATAATTAAAATTGCATACTTTACCGTGTACCAGGGGGACTGTTTCAGTTTATTATTCAGATTCTGATGATTATTATAGGAGGCTCTTCATCTGCCCTTAAGTACTTTGTCTTTAAATACTTTATAATTTTGAAAAATTCTTAGAACGCTTTTTTTTCTGCTTTAACTTGGAATTTTTCCTCTCCATTTCTTTTATGTTTGTGCTTTCTGGTCTTTTTATTTTTCTGATATTCACAAGATTTCCCTGAAGCTTTGTTACCTATTTCTTGATGTGCCAGATGTATGGTACTTAGAAATTAATTTATTGTTATTCCTTTTATTCTTTTTCAACAAATCCTTGTTTTCCCACAAAGTATATCCTTATGTGGAAGAATTAAAACATTTTCCTAAAGGGAAGTTCTTTCAATAAAGATGGTTGCCTGACTCTAAGTCATGAAATTTGTTTCCGGGTGCTAGAGAGGTCTCGGTGGAATTTACAGGAGTTGGAAAGGCTGCTTTTGCTTCAGCAGAGCCACTTTCTCTCTGACCTACTCTGTGTTGCCTCTTCCTCTTCCTGAAAAATGTAATACAGTTCTAACACATCGAAATTCAGGTTTGTACTTTAAACAAGTACTGGAGGAAATCAGAATCTAACAACGTCCCAGAGTCCAGAAAACTAGAATCTACAAAGGCTACTGTGAAACTCTAGAATGGCTTTCTTAAAAATATGTAAATTCTTTAACCTTCAAGGAAAGTAGATTTATTTTTTTTATTTTTAATTTTTATTTTATTTATTTATTTATTTTTGGCTGTGTTGGGTCTTTGTTGCTGCGCGCAGGCTTTCTCTAGTTGCGGCGAGCAGGGGCTACTCTTCGTTGCGGTGCACGGGCTTCTCGCGGTGGCTTCTCTTGTTGCGGAGCATGGGCTCTAGGAGCGTGGGCTTCAATTGTTGCGGCATGCGGGCTTCAGTAGTTGTGGCTCGCAGGTTCTAGAGCTCAGGCTCAGTAGTTGTGGTGCACAGGCTTAGTTGCTCCGCGGCATGTGGGATCTTCCTGGACCAGGGCTGAAACCCGTGTCCCCTGCATTGCAAGCGGATTCTTAACCACTTTGCCACCAGGGAAGTCCTAGGAAAGTAGATTTATTTATGAATTTAACATCAAAAGAGCTTTATCATAGTCTGATTATCAAGAATATAGAGCCTGGGGGCACACCTCAGAGGGAAGGCAGATACGTGTGCCTGAGGAGAATTAGGAATTAAAGTCATCTCAGAAGTGGGAAAATAGTATTAGATACCCAGATGGGATGCTAGGGATGTCATTTGTATTGTTTCACATGAGCCCTTGGGTAGAACTTCTTTCATGAAAGAGTAAAAGAAAAGTTTCTTGGGTCATGTTAACATTTCTGATTTAATTAGGTTTCGTTTTATCTTGTTCCTATAGGAAAACATTACTTTCCCCTTTGTAACAGATTTTAATGTGCCATGCTATATATTGCCCAATTAAAGCATGTATTTCTCTTTATTACCCTCTGCCTAAACATCTGGAATTGGTTCCTGAATATACAAGTCTTGACTACTCCCTTTGTCAATCTCACTGGCACCCCAACTAAAAAAAAAGAAAAGCAAAATTCTAGCTTCCCTCTAGGGGAACATCACGCATTATCTCAGAATTTCATATATGCAGAATCCCATATATGATCTTTAATTAAGTAGAAATAGTCATTAATTCAGTATTTTATTAGTCTAACTTTCTAAAAGCCAATCTAAAATGTCCCAAAACATAATTCATATAATATCAAGAATTACCAGAGATTTAAAAAACTGCTCCAAAATTTGACATGGAACAATTTCTATAGTTCATAATATTGTCTGAGTTACACAAAAACTAATTCATACAAGCCATTGTATGTTTGTATGTAATCTATTTCAGTTGTAGTTTTATATCACATTAAATTTAGAAATCCTAGAGTACCTTTATAAATAAGTTCCAGTTGCTTTTGGCTCATCCCAAGAAGTTTTTAATCTCACATAAAACTAACTCAAAAGAGAATTTAAATTTAGCATGTTGTAAGCCACAGAGCTTGAGTGCAAAAATCCAAACTTTTGCATAGATTAAAACATCCCATGGTTCTCCAGTTTTTCATTCTGTGGTAACTGATCTCCCCAGAGGTGAGCACAAAGTCATTTTCTTACTGGTTTCTTGGTGGATTGGGCTCAGTAAGATTCCCCATGAGTGGACTATGGTTTGCCAAAATCCATACAGGTCAACCAAACACTGGGCTTCTTGTTTGCACTTGGGCAGAGACTTGGACCAGTAATTTATTTTGAATTACCTGGTGTTTGCCAAAGGAGGCCCCATCCCGTGCCTTCCAGAGAATTTAACTGCTTCAAATTAGCTCTCTACTATGGGGCTGGTGACGCTAGAGGTTATCATTTTATATATGCAACAATGAGCATCTCTTTTCTGACAGGAAACACCACTGCTGAGGGGTCCATAGGATGCTGCCCCAGACCATTTTGCTGTAAATTCTGTGAAGGGTTATGTTTTCCTGGAAAGAGGAAGTCAGGTCACCTTGGACTCACCCTCACTCTCTGTCTCTTTTACTTTTTCATTCAGGAGCTGAGTAGTGCAGGTTCCTTTTTTCTACTAAAAAGAAGGAAGGAAGGAAGTTGAGGAGAGGTTTCCTATTCAAGCACCATATCTCCACCATACTCACATACAAACACCCTACCCCCAACATAGAAGCCATGGCCTCAGTGGAATATTTTAAACTGAACCAAAAGGGGTGCAGGGAGGTGTTGGGCCTTGGATTTGATTTTACCCTACTTATGAAGTAATAGCTTTGCCTGTATTATTTCATGAATGCTGGCAGAAGACACAAGAAACCTGGGTCAGAGACAAAGGATTTTATTACTCTAGGCACAGATAGCATGTTGAGTCAGTTCCCTCCTTGCTCCAGAGTCCCATTAGGGAAGGGAAGAGGAGTTTTGCTGAGGGCGCAGATGGATGCCTGCATAGGCAGTGGGTTGTGTTACAGGAGAGGAACTCTGAGTTTGGGGATTGTACCAATTTATAGTCAGAAGTAAGCAAGACTGCTTTTTTCCCAAGGGAGACGTTGCCTCATCCCTCAAGGTTTCTCGCTGCAAATACACTTTAAGAAATGGTTAGGGCCTTGCATTCTTGGCATACTTGGCAAGAATGTGGGTGAGTGAGAGACCCAGGGATAACTGTCTCTCCTCACAGGAGACATTTATCAGACTTTTAACCTTAAAGAAGCCAGACTTTCTCCCTTTATTTCATTTGGCTCCTATCCACCAAAGTCATCCACCACTTCAACAAAATTATATCTGAATGGGTTATTCAGTTATTTAATCCCTCAATTAAATTGTCTCAAGATCATTTCAATTCCATGTATATGGGGACTATGGATCATACTGAAATGACGAAAAATATATGTTACAACTTTTCAGACAGAGACCAAATAGTCACATTTTCTTACCTGGCTAACATAGTACATGTATTCATCCATCTTTTTTTTTTTTTTTTTTTTTTTTTTCGGTACGCGGGCCTCTCACTGTTGTGGCCTCTCCCGTTGCGGAGCACAGGCTCCGGACGCGCAGGCTCAGCAGCCACGGCTCACGGGCCTAGCCGCTCCGCGGCATGTGGGATCTTCCCGGACCGGGGCACGAACCCGTGTCCCCTGCATCGGCAGGCGGACTCTCAACCACTGCGCCACCAGGGAAGCCCTTCATCCATGTTTTGAACAGTTTTAAGGAATTTCTTTTACTAATGGAAACTTCATG